CGAACTCTGGTGTCGACAAGGGTAGCTTCATGGTTTAACATGAGTTCTGCATGCTGTAGTCATAGTTTGTTCAAGCATGCTGTCGAAATATATTACCTTTGTATTTAAGTTAGCATGTTGAATTGGGTCTTGCTTGTAAGCCCAATTATTAAGTTAGCTTGTAACCTAAGTTAACTTAGTAGTATATAAACATACTAGTTCTCTCAGATTATTGAAAGATGCTAATTGTTGGTATTCACTTGTAATCTTTGAACCCTTATTGAAAAAGTGAATAGTAAAACAATTTAAACCAATTCTTATTCTTGTTCTTCCTTCTTCTCTCTGTTTCATAAAACCTAATAGGGTTTCTTGTGTTTGTTCAAGAAAATCAATCTCTGTCTTATAGCTTTGTTCTATTATTGACGACATAGTTTCACAATAATCCATGAGGAACAGATAAAACATTCCTTTATTGAACATTACTAAAGAGTTTAAGGAGAAGACGACAATTTATCTTAGCAATTGCATCATCTGGTGTAGTTGTAACATTATTACCCAATGGTAGGACTGCACACTCCTAATTCAAGATACCTATCGATGCACAACCGAGTTCCATTTACGGTAGTTAAAATAAAATATATATTGTGAAACTCATTAGAGTTGCAAACTATAATAATTTGGGAAGAAGCCTCAATGACAAACAAATTTTTTTTATAAGCCTTAGATCAAATATATTATGACGTTTGTAGAAACAATGGTCATTTCGGTGGAAAATTTATGATCATCGGAAGATATTTTCATCAAATTATTCCTGTTGTAAAAAAAAATATATTGAGGCACAAATGAGTTCGGCGTGTATTACTAAGTCTCATTTATGGGCACATACCAATGTTTTTTGTTTGCGTTAAAATATTTGATCAATACATGATAACGGGTTTAAATAATCGCTTGTGTGCATAAATGATGGTGTTGAACCTACCAAACCAGATGATATGGTGAAGATACCTGCATAAATTGCAATACCATAGGAAGGTGAACATTTTATACAAGTTCTTATCCAACATATTTTTTCTGAATTAAAATTACATGGATGTGATGCTCCTTATTGTTAGAGGAGATTTTTTAACTAGAGAGCATTGAACATTGTGTGACTTTTTTCTTTCTAGAGCAACACATTTGTGAGAGACACATCACATACTTACCCAAAACCTTAAGGTGATGATAGGTGTATGAGTTCTCTCACTTATAAATGCTCAAGTCACCATATTTCTATCCAATGTGAGACTATTATACACACTACTCACACTTGTTAATACTTAACACTCTCCCTCAAGTGTGAGTCTATCCACAATGCTCTCCCTTAAGCGGAAACTTTAACTGTGCAACTGCACCCTTGTACCGCCGTTGACACTCTTTAACGAGACACTCGACCCACGACCTGTGGGGATACTTTCTATACAAGTAAGTCGTTCCCTTTATTCGAACCAGGCTCTGATACCACTGTTAAAGGAGATTTTTTAACTAAAGAGCATTGAACATTGTGGGACTTTTTTTTAGAGAAACACCTTTGTGAGAGACACACCACATACTCATCCAAAACCTCAAGGTGATAGGTGTATGAGTTCTCTCACTTATAAATGCTCAAGTCACCACATTCTATCCAGTGTGGGACTATTATCCACACTACTCACACTTGTTAATATTTAACTTATATGGTACAAAAATTCATTTTGACACCAAAAAATGACAATGTTCAAAAATTGAATGATATAATTATCGACCATTTTCCAAGAGAAAAACACAGTTTGTTGTTATTTGACGAGGTTAGAAGGGATACTCATGATTTATATTAGCATAAATTCTTAAACTCCATTGCTCAAGGTAGTTTGCCGCCACATATTTTAAAGATAAAAAAGGTGCACCTTTGATGTTGTTGCGAAATCTAGATCCTAGATATGGAGTGTATAATAGGACACATTTATTATGTCGTGCCTTATTTATGAACATGTTGGATATGAAAGTCGTGACATGAAACAACGCAAGAAAATAGCTTTCTTACATATAATTAAAGCAAAACCATTTGAGAGTGCATGATTTCCTTATGTATTTAGTAGAAAGTGTAACACCCCAATATTTGAATTATAGAATTATTTGAATTATTATGTTTTGCGTGCATATTTAATTGTGAGTGATTAGTTAAATATGGGAGTGAGGGTGTGTACCATTGAGTTAAGGGTATAGAAATAGTTATAGGTGATGAGTAAAAGTGAGGCAGAATTACTAGAAATTATTTTATTAACAACAATTTACTAGATTTAATTAGTTAAAAGAAAAATAGAGTTTTTGGGGTGAAAGTGAGAATTGAGGAAAAATTAATGGGAGAAAAGAGCAATTATTTTGTTAGTAAGGGAAAAAATATAATTAAGAGTTATTTTGCTCTCACTATATATTATAATGAGAAAAACCTATGAATAACCTATTTTGTCCGTGCGTAGAAATCAGAAAAAAGAGAAAGAGACTAAAGGGCTAAGAAGAGGAAGATACTTGGAGTGGAGAAAAAGAAGTTCTACTAGAAATCAGAATTTCGCTGCTAGAAGTATCCGATAAGGGGGAAAATAGTTTTCAATAGGGCTTATACATGAGAGATAGGGTAGAGGAGTCCTTAACCTTTAATAGGGTGTATGTTGTGGGTGAATTTTGTTTGTATGATGAAAAATTTCTTTGATAGTTGATGAATCCGTGCACTATTCACGACTGAATTTTCTGTTTTGCTACTTGATGTTTTTCCACCATTGTTGCATTGTCGAAGGTTTTGCATATCAATGATTTTCATGAAAATAATGGAGTTTACGTGTTAACTTGGATTTTAATCATGGGATAATCGTAGTATGTATGATTTTGAGATCAGGGGTTTTTACAGAATCGAAATCAGAGTTTCAAAGGTCCTTCAATGGTGAAAATCGTTTTTGTTTTTGTTTTTGTACAATGATAATCGGTTAACGCATTGGTGTAACTGGTTACTGATGAACAAATAAGTTTTTTTTTTGTTGAAATTTTTGTGACTATAACCGGTTAAGGGTTTTGGTTAACCAGTTACAATTACCGTGTTTTTCAAAAATACTGATTTTCCGTTTCTAATTATTTTCATCGTAACTCAGATTGAGACGTAGTTCGAAGCGTTGGAAAGATAATGTGAATTACTACAAATTGACAATAATTTCATAGGCTTAATATGCTGTGATAACACGAGTAATTGATGAGGAATATGTTTCATGAGTAATTGTGACTCAAATTAAATGATTTATTGTTGCATGCTTTGTTGATGAGAAATTCTGCTACGATGATATTTAAGTAAAGGTGAGCATGCGAAAACACCCTAAGAGAAGATTTTGATTATTGTTACTATCTGTTAAAGTGTTACATGACATGTATGTTTAAATTTGAGAATGTGTGACATCCTATTTTTGTTTTGATGAATACTTTGATTTTGTACATTTATGCGCCAGAAAAATAAGGTGTTACATAAAGTAGTTTCTTGTGCAACTAAGTTTTGTTATTACAATAAATAAATTATAGGGGCACACCATTTAAAATGTTGAAATATATCTTTCACGTCGTGTTTTTAGTAATAGACAATTATATGTGGCTTTATTCAAAGATGTTCCACATACAACACCAAGAGTTTTAATTAGGAAAAAAAAAAGAAGGGAAAATAGAGACTATACAAAAAATATATAATCTTTAAACAAATTCTTTTATCGCAACAACATATATTTATTGAATATATTAAAAAAATTGTTTACACGTTGATTCTCATCGATACTACAAATAACTAACAATATTATCCTATATTATTTAGTGATGGCTAAGTATAATCTTATTTTAATTTAGTATACATGCAAATTAAGATACAGTGAAAAATTTCAATTATGTAAAGAGTTGCATAAAAATAATGTCAAAGTTTTACTTCGACATTAAAATAAGTTATACTTAATCATTTCATCTATAATTTTATTATATAAATTGTTATAATATTTATCAATACTTTGATGTAATATATTTTAGACTATATAAATTGTTATAATATTTATCAATACTTTGATGTATTATATTTTAGAACAAAGATCTTAAAGATAAATAGAACACATAAAAATACGAATATACAATAACATCTTTTTACAAAATCAATAATATACAGTATCATTTTCAAACAATTTTTTTGAAATGAGGATTTATGTACATCTCAAACTTTATTGATTATTATATGTCTAAACTTATGAGATTATTACTAGTTTTTTTTATTTATGACGATTACATCATATCTTAACTATTATTTCTATTTGATAAATTCTAACACCACTAATTTAAATATTTAAAATAAATATAAAAAATAAATTTTAAATATTTCACCCGTGTGCTCGTTAATAACAATATATAGAAAAAAACTTTATTTTTGTGTAACCTATTTTTCTGTCATTTTTTTTACTCTTACTTTATTGTATAATTTACTTAATAATTTTCATTAACACCACTATTATTAACTTCTACATAATTCATTACTATTAATTATTTTTTAAAATTATATTTGAATAAAAAATATTGTTTATATTTTCATTGATGCATATTTAATAAGCGGACAAACGCGTGGCCGTGAGTACCCGTCTAGACACTAGTTTTAATAAAAGATAAATCATCATCTCTTCTACAAAACCATACTTCTAAACTTTTTTTTTTCTATATAAAATAATGATGATTTATTAACAAACTGTTATAACATGGTGTGCATTCGAAAAAGAAATTCTGAAATTTAAAATAATTATTGATTTTCAACCGTGCGCGAACACATGCTTTGTTATAAACGGGCCGGGCCCAAACAGCAGTTGAGTTGGGCTTATACTATTCAGCCTGCAATAATAACCTAAACCATTTCACCAACATATAAATACATAAAAACCCATTTCTTACAAATCTTCTAGGGTTTACGAATCAATCGTCGTTGCTGCAAGGTTTCCACATCTACAATGGTACTTCGATTCTCCTTCTCCGTTCATCAACACATAGTATCGATTTCGTCTCTTCTGTATTTTAACAATTTTGTGTTAACGAATCGCAGGGTAAGGGAACTGGAAGTTTCGGTAAGAGGAGGAACAAGACCCACACACTCTGTGTGAGGTGCGGCCGCCGCAGTTTTCACCTTCAGAAAAGCCGGTGCTCGGCGTGTGCTTACCCTGCTGCTCGCGTCAGGAAATGTAATTACTTTATTCTATATTCTCAATTTGGTTTCAAATTAGGGTTTATGTTTGGCTTATTAATTGTATCAGGAAATTGAATTAGTTTCTATTTTTCAATTTGATTTCAAATTAGTGTTTACATTTTGTTTGTTAATTGAATTTGGGTTTTGATTTTAGATAACTGGAGTGTTAAGGCAATCCGCAGAAAGACCACTGGAACTGGTAGGATGAGGTACTTGCGCAACGTTCCTCGCCGATTCAAGAGTGGCTTTAGAGAGGGTAATTACTCGATTTAGATCCTAATTTGCTCAATATAGATCCTTTTTAATAGTTATTTTGATTGATTTCATTGTTGAATAATTTTCTGTCTTCTTAAATTCAGGAACTGAAGCTGCACCTAGGAAGAAGGGAGCTGTCACTGCTTAGGCTTTTTTGAGAATTGTTGTTTTGTTTGGGTACGAGTTTATAGAATTAGTTTGTTATTGGTGATTGGGGCGAGTATTTTTGAACTACTTTGTTTACGGCCTCACTGTTTCAGTTTAATTTTCTATTTATTCTGTACTTTCTTGATTTTTGAATATGATTATAGAACTATTTCATTGTTCAGTTGTTTTCATGTGTGGTATTATTAGTTTTGAATAAGCCATACATAATTATGTTAAGGTAGTTTGAGTTTTGAGGTATGTTCTTATCATATGGTTGCTCATTTAGTTTTGTATGCCATTCACACTTAAGGCTATGAGTAACATAAAAGTAATTTTCTTCAATCTTGATCTAGCAGGTAGGTGGCAGTTTCATTACATTCCGTTGTTTCTTATGATGTCTGATATGCAATGTAATTGAATTTTTTGTTATGTGAGCACTGTTTTTTTTTAAATATATATGATGTGAATTTAGTGGTGTCATCTGTATATGATACATTATAATGAAATATCAAGCATTTTGGTGCCTAGTTTTTTGTCATCTACTTTAGCCAGTTTGTGAAAACTGGCTGTGCCGCATTGTGTTATTGAAATTGCATGCCATTTGAATGAGTATTGCTTCACTGTAGTAGTTTTGTAAACTTCATTATCTGGTTATGTTAACTTTATTAGCTGTTGTTTAAAATTATTAGACTGGTTTGACATATCAAGTTATAATCATGAAACAAGCTTATCATCCTCTGAGCATGATACTTAGGCGTGATGGAGCATAAATCACTGTTTCATTTTAATGGCTATTGCTTTAAATTCTAGGTTCTAAACCTAATTTGAGTTGATAAATCAATTTTTATGTCTTCTCCATTAGGGTATTCCTACTTTCCCGTCTATTATTATCAAGTTGAGAACTTTGGTATAGTTCATATGAAATTTATGCTCTTTTCTCATTTAATCTATTTGTATAAATATATAAATTCAGTTGGTTTACCTAAAATTGTTACCTTAGAATGATAAGAATTTCCCACAATTTAATACTTCTAGTAATTAACAAGGCTGTATATTGAAATGTTTTTTTTGGTCAATGTTTTAGTTTGTAGGGTGAAAATATGATCAATTCAGTCCCAGCATATGTTTATATGTACATCTTATAAGTTGAAAAATGCTTTACATAATACGTCTGTCCGACTGATGTTTGTTTTGTAAGTAATGGTACGTACAAATTTAATTTGAAATTTGCTTTACATAAAATAGTTGTAGTCTAACTCCGAAGGTTGTTTTATAAGTCTTGTTAGTTCTATGAAAAATGTGGTTTTCGAAATTAGAATTTGATTCCCGAATTACTAGTTTTGAAAGTGGGTTCATAAGACCACATGTCCCTAGCATTCTCTTGATTATTTTTCGTGATAGTCATGGAACTATTAATAGCAGTTTTAACCGGTAGAAAGAACATTCTAAATGTGTTAATTAATTTTAATGATTTATGAATTAAATAATATTAGAGAAATAATTTAAATATAAAATCGACTATAAATTAAATCTCCTTTAAATATTTCTTCTCAACTATATATATTGACCATGTCTTCCATGGTCACAAGAATTTGGGCACAAATTTTACACAATAACACAAAAATGTAGATTTTGATAATTATTTTATTATTTTTTATAACACATTATTTAAGATAGAAATAATTTTTTGTTAGTGTGCCTATGAAAGTTATATTTGAATTCTGTGACATATAAGAATAATTAATACTCTTAGGCATCTAGTGAAATTTTTCTTATGCTTTTTGTTTTTGGAGATATATATTTGGATGCACTAATTTTTTTTAAAATTTTTTTATGTTGGATGCACTAATTTTTTTAATATTTTTTTATGTTGGATGCTTTAGGAGACACATCTACGAAAAAGTTTCGTCGATGCGTCTTTGAAATCTTTATCAGAGTTGATTACAGATGAAAATTAATTGTTATAGATTAATATAAAAAGGCATACATCCGTAAATAATATATATATATACACACACACACGAAGTCATATTTCATAACCATCACCAAAAAAATAGTATATCAATGTGATCAAAATATAATACATCAAAAAAAAATATCACAGACTACTGTTTGCCTAACAACATCTGCATCCCTTCTGCCACCTCGCCTTCCTACCTCCTCGACCGCCGGTCCGCATCCTTGGCCATTGTTGTAACACCCTTTTCTACCTCACAGATATTACGACAAAATAATATGTTCTGTGTACTACACAAAACAGCGGAACTCAAAAGGCATAATCAAGGTTTTTCTCATCCGGGAAGATAATCAAAATAAACTCAATAAACATAACTCGACTCAAAAACTCCCAACTCGATGTTACACTATTAGAGCAAGACCCTCTAAGTTGACCAAAGGCCTACAACTCAACTTCAAAAGTCCTCAACAGCATCCACGACTAAACCTGGTATTTGCACGTTACCTACGTGGAGGTAACATTCAAACAGGCAGGGTGAGTAAAACAGTTCATAATAATCAATGTATAAAAGTCAATGTATAAAACGACATTATAATCATATTCAACACATGCATACCCTTCAATAGGCCTCGAAGGCCACAACATCATAATTTATACAAAATGCTCATAAATGCAAATGCAACATAGACTCAATGCATGTGGTATCTGTAATACCCTAATTTTTACCCCTAAGATCCCACGAAACAGATATGTTGATGAAAGAAATCCATGAAGGATCCTTTGGCACCCATGCCAATGGACACGCGATGGCTAAGAAGATGTTAAGGGCAGGTTACTATTGGCTGACAATGGAATCTGACTGTTGTAAATATGTGAAAAAGTGCCATAAATGCCAGATTTATGCTGACAAGATTCATGTGCCTCCAACTCCTCTCAATGTTATCTCTTCTCCATGGCCTTTTTCAATGTGGGGCATTGATATGATTGGAATGATTGAGCCTAAAGCGTCGAGCGGACACCGTTTCATATTGGTGGCTATTGACTATTTTACCAAATGGGTTGAAGCGACATCATATGCAAATGTGACTAAACAAGTAGTGGTCCGGTTTATCAAGAATCAAATCATCTGTCGGTATGGTGTTCCGAGCAAGATCATCACTGATAATGGGTCGAATTTAAATAACAAGATGATGAAGGAATTATGCGATGAGTTTAAGATTGAGCATCATAATTCTTCTCCATATAGACCCAAGATGAATGGGGTTGTTGAAGCTGCTAATAAGAACATTAAGAAGATTATTCAAAAGATGGATGTTACATACAAGGATTGGCATGATATGCTTCCTTTCGCTCTGCATGGGTATCGTACATCCGTTCGCACTTCAACAGGGGAAACCCCTTTTTCTCTTGTTTATGGTATGGAAGCAGTGCTCCCGATAGAGGTTGAAATCCCTTCTATGAGAGTTTTGATGGAAACTGAATTGTCTGAGGCTGAATGGTGTCAAAGTAGATACGACCAGTTGAATCTGATTGAAGAGAAAAGAATGACGGCCTTGTGTCATGGCCAATTATATCAACAAAGAATGAAGAAGGCATTTGATAAGAAGGTTCGACCTCGTGTATTCAGAGAAGGTGACCTCGTGCTCAAAAAGATCATGACTTTTACTACTGATTCTAGGGGCAAGTGGACTCCTAATTATGAAGGCCCATATGTTGTTAAGAGAGCCTTCTCTGGCGGTGCATTAATTCTTACAACTATGGATGGAGAAGAGTTCACTCGTCCTGTGAATGTCGATGCAGTCAAGAAATACTTCGCCTAAAAAAAAAATAAAAGAACAACTCGTTAAGTTAAAAACCTGAAAGGGCGGCTTAGGCAAAAATTAGCGTCTCGGTGAATTAAAAACCTGAAAGGGCAGTCCAGGCAAAAATTAGAGACAAAACAGAAATAATTATCCCGGTAGATTGAAAACCCGAGAGGGCAATCTAAGAAAAAGTTAGGGATCATGGCAAGTAACTGCATCTGGCCAGTCTTGATCGTTTGAAGCAACATTTCCTATCAAAGGTTTTACTTCAATTATTCCCCGCTGAAGTCTCAAGCACAGTTGGAACTCAAAGTTGTTAGGGAGAATAATGGTCATTGTATTTCAATGTAGAACTTTCCATTGTACTTACCATTTTTCAAACTTTGTAATGATCCATGGAGTTACGCCATTTGCGGACTACCATTCTATCAATAGAATTTGGGCCTTTGTCCCTTTGTTTGCAATTCTTATTTTGTTTCTGTTTATAGAATTTCATTTTATTTTTGATGATGATTTTTGAAACAAATGTGAATAATTGATTTAAATTTTGAAAATTATAAAAACATTTTTCTTTGATTTGTGAAAATAAAAGAAAGGATGTCAACAGTAACCCCAAGAATGGTAGAATCTTGAAGCGAAAAGCGTAAGTGTTCTCTTCAGCAGGGTTCTTTCTTGCCTCTCTGGTAGAATTTATTGGCAGCTCCCCAGTAGAGTTGTGTTGATGTTTCCCCATTTGAGCTATATTGAGGTCTCTTCAGTAGAGTTTGCTGATATTCCCTTAGCAGAGTTTTGTTTCTTTGGATAAACCAGACGAGTGTTGAACGATTTTCCACAGCAAGGTCTTGATTCAAATGATGAATCTGTTTTCTTCATTCAACCAGGTTATGATCAGGCAGTTGAGAAATTTGAAGACCACTTCTCCTTGATGTTTTTGCTCATGCGGAGATTTGTCTTTGATGATTCCTAGCAGAGGTTATGCATATTTGCTTTGGATTATTCCCCAAGTAGAGAACAATGTTGTTTACGTCTAAGAAGTGTTGACATAGCAGTCTCCTGTCGGGTTTTCTCTCACCTTGTGATTGTGTGTTGATTTAAAATCCCCCACAGTTTGACTTTTTGCTATGATGTTAACTTCTTATTCCCCTGACAGGGTTGGAAGATTTGTGTTGTTATGTTTTCTCCAACAATTTTTTTCTCAAAGCGGAGTTCATATTGTTGTTCCCTCTTGTTGAATTATTGATG